CTCTCTCTCTCTCTCTCTCTCTCTCTCTCTCTCTCTCTCTCTCACACACACTAATTCAATGATTCTCTCCTTCTCCGGCCACCAGGTGGCGAGGTCGAGGACGCCGTGGAGGTCGGCAACAGGGGGCGCCGCTCGCGCGACCAATCGCGTCGATCGTCTCGCAGCCGGTCGCGCGACCGCAAGCGCTCCCGCCGCAGCAGCCCCTGTTTCTTTATCTTTCTCTTTCTCTCTCGCACACAAACACATACACACACTCTATCTGTGTCTGTCTTCCCCCCCCCCCTCTCTCACACACTCTCACTCACTCTCTTCCTTTCTCGCCGCCGCTCGTTTTTATTCCCCTCATCTTCTTCGACACAAACATCTCCAACCCTCACAGCTCCACGACTCTTAGTTCCTCCCCTCTCCGTGTCGCATCCCTCCCTCCCTCCTCCCTCTTCCCTCCTCAACACTTCCTAACGTCCTCCGCCCCTCGGCGACGGTGCCGCCAACTGCCGGCGCTTGGTGGCGGGTCTGCGACGCTGTGTGGTGCTGGTGCGGGGCTCCTGACGGATGGGTGTGCCGCACGACAGCTCGTCGCTTCCGTCCGCGCAGTGACGCACTCCGTCGCAGACGTACTCGCGAAAGACGCACGTTTCCAGGTCGGCGCACTTCACCTTCTCGGGCGGGCACGTGTAGTTTACTGCGGCGAACGATAGATGGCGTGAGCGTCGCGCGGAGGTGGAGGGTAAAACTCTGGTAAAACCACTTTGTTTTATATTATATTCATTATTAACCGCTGGTAAAACGTGGAAGTTTTTTTTTGGAGTTTGTAGAGAAGGTATACGAAAACAAATACGTAAATTATGTAGATCGCATATACGACGGTAATGCGGACGTAAATAAAGACAAAATACGGACAAAAAACTTGTGTACAGTGGTTAATCAAGGGATCATATCTATATATATATATATATATATATATGTAATTAAGCGGTTGTTCGCACAGCCGCCGCGACAACAAAACCAAACAAGAGAACGTCTGTCTCTCACTCACGGCAGTGGTGTTCGTCGCTGCCGTCGGCGCACGCCGCCTGTCCGTCGCATCGCAGGAAGTCGAGGAAGCAGCGTCGGCCATCGTCGCACGTCGTCGACACCCCCGACAGACACAGGCTCCACTCAGCGGCGACGGTGTCGCCCTCTCGCGACCGCTCGACCATCGACTGTAGGTAGTAATCGCGGTCGACGCCCTGCCGCGAGCGCCACCTGCTGTGAACTCCTGGCAAAATAAAGATTGCGGCCGTCGGAGCTATCCATGGAAATATATTATAGATCTAACTAGTATTATTTTGATGGAGCTACCAGGTTTGTTATTATTGTTACCGTTGTTTATTGTTATTGTTATTATTATTATTATCATTACCATCATCAATATTGTTATCATTATTACCTAATTCGTTTAGCTATGTAAACCTTTAGGTTTTATTAAAAAAAACTTTATTTATAACTAATTTTAATCTTAATTTTTACTCCAACGAGGAAGGTATCTGTCACGTGGCGAGACTGTGACGTCACGCCGTTCGAAATAGCGCCTATTGTTTTTGACACTCACCGCATCCCTTCTCGTCGGAGCCGTCCGAACAGAAGATCTTGTCGTCGCACCGCCAGGTGGCGTTGTAGCACTGAAAGCCGTTGTTGCACTTGAGGAAACCCTCGCGACACTCGAAGTCCTCTGTAACGTGAATAACATGAAGCTAAGGTCGTTGCTACTAGCCGTACTGTGGTATCGGTGTGTGTGTGTGTGTGTGTGTGTCGTGGTGATGTGTGTGTGTGTTGTGGTGTGTGTGTGCTGTGTGTGTGTGTGTGCTGTGGTGTGTGTGTGTGTGTGTTTGTGTTGTGTGTGACCACACGGAGATATATATATACACATATATATATATATATACAGCATTAGAGAGCAGAGATAGACAGCCGGAGAGAGAAAACACAGAACCAAGGCAGACGGACACGACACACACACACGACACACACACACACCACACACACACACGACACACACACACACACCACACACACACCACACACACTGGCGCGCGCGCGCGCGCGTACGCAGACGCAGCACAGCCCACACTACAAAGTGGAGAGAGAGGAAGCGCTGCGTCAAAAGTGTCAAGAAGAGAGAGAGAGGAGAGAGAGTAGCCCTGGCGGAAGCAATCTACCTGATATTCTTCACACGATCATCCGCGAAAGGACGAGAGAGAGAGAGAGATGCCAGCAGCGAAAAAAGAAAAGTATAAACGCATAAAGAGAGAGATAAAAAGATAACAGGATAAAAAGTATTAAACAGCGGATTAATTACCACAGTTTTTTCGTCGCGGAGCCGATCAGGCCAGTCTGATGAACAGCATCACACCTGTACCGTGACTCGCAATGCACTGCCCTGCCCTGGTTGCCCACTTCTCCCAGCCGCGGCGATGCACTCAAACTCCTCTGCCCAAACCGATACAGTGGCGCTCTAGAGATGGTGTTAGAACTCAGTGGGTAAGGCGTGGAAAACTAGGTCGGGCACGTTGTCAAAAACATCGTAAAGTAATTGCTAGATGTTAATGCCTAAGATAGCACTCACGACTGATGTTGGAATGTAATGAGGGAGACGTTATACTCTTAGGTTCTAAAGTTATTTTCCAGCTAATTGGTAGGTGTATTAAGTTACGTACATAAAAGAGTTCGATGGTGCAATCACCAGTTAGAATATTTTTCTTTAATGTTTTAAGAACTAGACGGGACTACGTTGATGTACGAACGACGGTTGCGCCACTCAGAAGCGCACGATCTGATTAAGTTGCGCAAAACCATTTCCAGCCAAGGGGCTACAGACCGAGGGTGTTTCTTATTGTATTCATTTAAAGGCAAAAAAATTGCTAATATCTATAAACGGACATGATAGGTTTTTCAGTTATAATATGGATAAAATTACGTAGAATAGTGAGATATCGCTTCGGTTTAAATAGGCATTGTAGGCGTAAAATATAATTGCCACGTTTTGTGATTAGCCCTCGGCTGCCTAAGCGTGCAAAATAAATTGGGGCAAATACAGAACTTTTTGCGAAGTAGGCGCACGGTGCGGGTTGCATGGCGCCGTTAATTCGTAGCGTTGATGTTAATTAATTTATAACAATTAAATTAAGTTATCTGGTGACAATAGCATCTGTGAGGCGATGGCATAGACGAGTTTGTTTTACAGGTAGAGTACAGTTGTATGAGTAAAAAATGCCTAGAGGCTAGGCTGGTCGCTTAAGGACGTAATTTTTTGTATTCTCACATTGGACCCTTGTAAACGTAGGCAGTAGATGATAAGATGTAATATTGATTTATATATTATTGATAGTGGATAAGTATTGATCAGTAGATAGTAGGATGAATAGACAGCAGGTGACGGGCAGTAACTATAAGACAGTAGGAATTGCCAGTAAGCAATAACATTAGTGACAGTAGTGGAGCAGTGCAGTGTGTACATGCGTTGACACGAATAGGTTAACATTTGGGTTGGACAGTAGTGCGACAGTAGATGGACAGTGGTTGACAGTGGTTGACACAATAGTTGAAAAAACCCATCTGGGACAGGTAGTTAACAGTGGTGGACAGTAGTGGACCGTAGTGGGCAGTAATTGTCAGTAGTGGACAGTGGTTGACACAGTAGTTGACACAGTAGTTAACATTAGTGGACAGTAATAACCAGTAGGTAACAGTTGAGTGCGACGAGTAAAACCAGTAGGTACATTAAGTGCGGACAGGTAGTGGACAGTGGGCCGGACGAGTGGTTGACACAGTAGTGGACATTAATGGACCGTAGTGGACAGTGGTGGGCAGTGGTTGACACAGTAGTGGACATTAGTGGACCGTAATAGACAGTTGTAGACAGTGGTAGACAGTGGTTGACACAGTAGGGGACAGTAGGGGACAGTAGTGGACAGTAGGGAACATTAGTGAACAGTAGTTGACAGTAATTGTAAGTAGTGACAGTAGTTGACGCAGTAGTGGGACAGTAGTTGACACAGTAGGTAACATTGGTGGACAGTAGGTTTGGACAGTACGTGACAGTGGGTTGCACACAGTTAGGCTAACATTAGTAAGTGGACAGTAGTGGACGCATGTGTGACAGCTGGTTGACAGTGGTTGACAACGGTTGACACAGTATTGGACAGTAGTGGACAGCAGTGCATCAACCACGTACCGCATCCTATCTCGTCAGAGCGGTCGGCGCAGTCTAGGTATCCGTCACACAACCATTCCTCCAGTGGATACGATTCGCGTGGCGGTCAGCACACTTGATCAGGCCGTACGGACACCCGTAGCTCGCTGTTACACACACACACACATGTTAGCATAGCATAGTATATCATGTCATGTCATATCATATCATGTTATTTCATATCATATCATATAATATCATCTCAGTATATTATATATATATATATAATAATATATACATATGCTGTGTGTGACGGTGTTGTCTGTGTCTGTGTCTGTCTGGCTGTCTGCTCTCTGTGTGCGCGTGTGCGTCGTGTGCTTAGTAAACTTGTTGCATTAGTAGAATTAGAAGTACGTTACTAGAAGCGTCAATATTCGAATCAGTTACGTATTTCTATGATACATTATCCGCATTTGTAAGTTATTCGGTGTCGTTATAAAACGCTAGGTATGTTTTCATCACTTTAGGTGTTATTACAAGACTTTAGGTGTCTTTGCAAGACGCTAAGTATTTTTACAAGTCGTTAGGAGTCTTTATGAAACATTAGGTGTATATATGGAGGTGGTATACGTCTTTCTGAGACGTTAGGTGTTTTATGGAGGTGTTATGCGTCCTTCTGAGACGTTACGTGTTTTATGGAGGTGTTATGCGTCTTTCTGAGACGTTACGTGTTTTATGGAGGTATGATGCGTCTTTCTAAGACGTTACGTGTTTTATGGATGTGTTATGCCTCCTTCTGAGACGTTACGTGTTTTATGGAGGTGTTACGCGTCTTTCTGGGATAGTCTAGGCGTCCTTATACGACGTTATGCGTCTTCCTTACGCACTAAGTGTGAACTGTAAGATACACGGAGTAATGACACCGCCCGGTCACTTACTGCATCTGAGTTCATCGGAATTGTCCCGGCAATCCCTGTTGCCATCACAGCGGTAGAGCGAATCTATGCACTTGCCTCCTTGAACGGCCTATAGATGGCGACACATGACAGTATGAGTACAGAGCGACTGAACACGGTACAGAGCGTGAATTTCTATCAGGAATTAAGTAAGCGGACGAAATCAAACAATAGATTTACTATCAATACTTCTCTTACGACCATATCTCTTATAGAAAAGATCTTAGCAATATATCACTTATGTAAAATATAGAATCGACATGTCTCATATTATCATGCTACGTATATTAACATATTTCTTATGAAGAAATTCTTATTGTTATAGCGCCTGTAAGATATCGTTTATCAGCAAATCTCTTATCAATATATTTATTATCAACATATCTCTGTCGTTAGCGCATCACGCTGTGTCCCCTTCACCTTTTCTCTTTCTCTTCCTCCTTTCCTCCCCTTCCCTAGCGTTTTCTCTCTTCCTAGTATTGTGCACGCACACTCCTGTCCCTTCCTGGCCTCGGGGCAATTTCCTGGTGGTATAGCCTTGTCGCCTCTTCTCTTCCTTCCGCTTCTGTTCCATCTTCTTCTTCCTTCCCTCTCCCGCGTCTCGTGTTTCTCTCTCGTAGTTTTGGGCTTACAGTCGTCTCTCTCGTCTCTCTTCTCTCTCTTGTCATCGTCCTTCCTCTCTTCTCTGCGTCTCTCTCTCTCTCTCTCTCTCGTTTCTGCCGTCTCGTCTCGTCTCTCCTGTGTGTCCTGTCTGGCGTCTCTCGTCTGCGTCTCTCTCTCTGCTTGTGCTGGGTGTTGGTGCTTCTCTCTGCGTTTGCTCCTGCGTTCCCATTCTCTCTCGTGCTGGCGCGCGTCTGCCCTCTCTCTTCCTTCCTCTCTCTCTCTCTCTCTCTCTTCCCCCTTCCCTTCCACCTTTCCTCGCTTGCACGAGAACTCGGCCGCTCCGCAATCTTATCTCTTCCTTCCTCTCTCCCTCTCTCTTTCTCCTCTCTCTCTTTCTCTCTCTCTCTCTCGTCTCATCTCCCGCCCCTGCTCTCCCCCTCTCTCTCCCCCATCCCCCGTACCTTTCCTCGCTTGCACGAGAACTCGGCCGCTCCGCAGTGCTTCGTCTTGCGCGGCTTGTCCGGCCTCACGCTGCCGCTGTCGTGCTCTCGCGAGATGTCGTCGATGTCTGCGAGAAAACGCGAGAAAATTTCACGATCACCGATCGATTGCGAACGAAAACGTGGCGGCACCGCACCGGCGATCACGTGTCGTGGCACATGAAATTTGAAAATAGTCAAATCAGAAAGACGGTCAACGGATCACGTCTGTCCAATCAGCACAGCGGTGACCAGATCACGTGTATCCAATCAGAAAGTCGGTCAACGGGTCGCGTCTGTCCAATCAAAAAGGAGGTCAACGAATGACGTCTGTCCAATCAGAAAGGTGGTCAACGAATAACGTCTGTCCAATCAGAAAGACAGTCAACGGATCGCGTCCGTCCAGTCCAATCAGAAAGACGGTCAACGTATGACGTCTGTCCAATCAGAAAGGCGGTCAATGGATCACGTGTATACAATCAGAAAGACGGTCAACGGATCACATCTGTCCAATCAGAAAGGCGGTCAATGGATCGCGTCTGTCCAATCAGAAAGGCAGTCAATGGATCACGTCTGTCCAATTAGAAAGGCGGTAAACGGATGACGTCTGTCCAATCAGAAAGGTGGTCAATGGATCGCGTCTGTCCAATCAGAAAGACGGTAACCGGATCACGTGTATCCAATCAGAAAGGCTGTCAACGGATGACGTATGACCGCTCTGCTGATTACATTATCAGTCTATTAGTCTGTCAGTTAGGGGGGTTCAACAAGTTATCAGATCAAGCCACTGACGTCACGGCAACGTCGGCTCGCATTTCTTCTCCGCGTATAGAGATCTCTCTGTGCGGCGTACGTGATATATTATGAGATAATATCATTATGGTTGTTACTGATTCGAGATACGAGGCCATTAGGTTGTTTATTGGTTGCTATCAACCAATTAGGCTCGGGGAATGTTGGGCCAGTCACAAACATTTGCATTCTCGTTATGCCAGTATGATATATTACGTATAATATACTTGATAAATAAATTTTCGGGTAAATAGTATTAGCATTTGGAAT